TAGGCCGTTGGCTTCGCATCCCTACAAAGCCGGGGAGAAGCACGCCGGGTTCTCACCGGGCCAGGATCTTACATAGTAAAGCGCGAAGCGCTGTGAGGTATTCACTTCTTCTAGGCGGGGAGTGTTTCCACAGATGATAAAAATAGAATGCACCTCCCTAGGGATGATGCGGTGAGCCCTGCCGGGGGGTGTATGTAGGTCTCCTCGGTTTTCTCGTCTTCATCATTCAAAAGAGAGATGCCAACTTGGCAGAGCAGCAATGTTCCCCCTCAGATACCTTTCTTTCTGCCCCTTTTCTACAATACCGTGTCTCGGCCTCTCGCGGCCAGTATTACTCTCTCTCTCCCCTCCAAGCGGCATGCAAAGAGTGGCATCAACCACGGGGTATGTTTCCTCCGGTGAAGGGAACAAGTTATCCTGCACGAAGTAGTCTCTGATGACCAGGTAAGTCCCAAACGTCGTACCATCAACCTACCTATAGTTTTTTTGCAACCACCACCTCTCGAAGTAAAAAGGTGCGCGGGTGGGAAAATACTTGCCTGATTTGCATTTGCAGCTCCTAAAGCTGGTAAACCACACTACTACTGGAACCGTTCTTTGTGTCAACCTCGTTCCTTCTCTCTGATCTGAGACCTCTATCGCGGGTAAGACTCTGCTTCAATTCATTCTCTCTTTCTCTCGTTCGGTTAGCCGTACTCCGTGGAACTTTTACCGTGCCAAAACGAGACGCCATTCGTAGCTCGTAGTGGGTGCTTTTATTTACAAGGGCCAGCTTGGTTTGTTTGCCTACTCCTTCCACAAGCAGACCTGCCCTTTTCCACGTTCTCCGCTGTCCTCACTCAGAACCGCATCAACCCACGTACCCCACTAGTTTCGCTTGGTCAGCAGCACTAAAGTATTACCTTGCCACAACCTGGTACTAACTAATCAACCTGTTTCTGGGTATTCGGCAGAGTAACACTGCTATGCGGGGGCCTCCGGGGGTTGAACGTGCGTGTTTCATGGGTATGGTGAACATGGTGCGCGGGGGTCTTCTTCCCTCGCCCATGTCTCTCACTTGTTAGACTGTTTCACGAGTGACAAACGTGAGTGGCGCGAATATAGCCTCGCGCATCATGTTGACCATTCCCATGAAGCACCCGCGTAGCCCCCAGAGGCCCCGTATAGCAGTCCTACTTCACTAGATACCCAAACACAGTCGCCCCCCCCCCCCCCCTACTCGGGTCGAGGGACGACCTACGAAAAAACTCCTCCTCCCAAATCCCCCCCTAAAAACAAAACCAAAAAAAACAATCCCGTTTAGTTTTGCTCTAACATTTTAACCCCTACCATTTTGTTTTCGGGTTTGATTTAATTTTGTCATGGGACTACCCAATGGACGTTATGCGCACATTTTGGGTCTCGTCTCAATCTCAAAAAACAACATTTCAAAAGTAATAATCATAAAAAGCAAACAAATAATTTGGGAACTCCCCACCCTCGCAAGGGTGTCCCATGGATCCAGCGAGTTATACCCGTCCTCAGACTGCAGTGTCGGCTCCCGGCCCTCACCTGGTACAACACGCACACGGTTGAAGTTATGCCACGGTACGTATGGATAGGTAGGGTAGGGATGATGCACATCGTAGTACAGAACGTTTGACGTTCTCCCAAAATGTAGAGGCCTAATTCTGAAATCTGACCTCTCTAGTCTACATAGACTTTTTCATCGAAGAATATTGTCAGTTACCACAGGCTTTTCATGGAAGAAAATTGTCAGTGGCCACAGCAATTCATGTGGTTGAGGAGAGAAATACTATGCATACGCGTATGCAACAATACCGACGAGGAGAGACAGACAGCGCTTCACATAGACTACCGGCCTTTGCCAGTTTGTTGGCACGATTCTTGATTTCTTTGTGACCTCGACATGCCTCGTTCGATTCTCACCCTGGCGCCGGCGCCGGGTTCGAGGCACCATGCCGCCGGTGTTCAAGACCCGGGAGAGGATTCGCGTCAGTATGCCGAGAGTCCTGTTTGTGGCGCCAACCAGGGGCTGCTGCTGCTCCTCCTCCTCGTCGTTGTGGACTGCCTGTTGCGGGGGGGGCGTAAACCAGCCGGGTGCGGACTGAGGATAAACGAATAACGAACTGCCATGACTGTACTTACAAGCTGTAGGCCAGCTGGGAGAACAACAAATTTGATCATCGACGAGTCACGAATGAATTCGGAATTGCCGCGAGTGATGCCCTTTAGAAACAATCAGCTGTATTTAAGCATACCTGCCCAAGCTCTGGCACATCTTGGTCACCGCCAGTCTCGAGTTCCCTGCGGAAGCTAATGACACATGCATGCCCGCATATCATGTGGCACTTGCGGCATATGGTGTGTATAGTGAGTGGGTTGTTGGTGGCAAGAGAATTAGCATCGTGGTGGGTAGTGTAGAGAGGTTGACGAAGTGCGCTTGTTGCGAGATGTTCTCTCTCTAACATCGACCCTCGCTCCCAGTGCAGGGATGGCTACAATATATGGTTCATTTTTCAAAACTGCTTGTGCTACTACATACTCTTGAGCTTTCATTGATGTACAGCAGTACTGCATCGAAGGGGGGGTGTCTCACCTGTTCTCGTCCGGTCGAATACAGTGTTCGAGGGCCTTCCATACAAAGACCTTCGAGATTGCGAACTTGGTCACCATGACGCCGGTCCACACAACTCCGCTCACGATGAGTACCATTGTTATTCAAGTCCGCTCGAAAGCAAGCGATCTAGGAGAGAGAGCTGAATTGAAGGTGTTGAGATTGAGAGTGAACTGGACTGGAGAAGCAACAGCAGTGAGGTCACACGGCTGGATCTTTATTCGGGATGAAGCAGTTGAACCGACCAGTGTTCAGCAGACAAGGACCGACCAAATCCTTATTGTTGAACCAAGCTTGGAACTGTTAGATACCGATCCTGGTTTACGCGAGCAACGATACTCTGTACAGCGGTACACACTGAAATAGCCGCCATCATCTGATTCGTTGGTACGTTCCTTTTTCCCACGCGGTTGTCATGAACGACGCCCCCAGCCTCCAGCCTCCGGTATGTTTCATACTTGTATAGACTACATGCCGCCGTCCCAGTTGCGTCGTCAGACGTCAGCCAGACGTCAGGCGCCGGACGAGATGTGTGGTGTCGGAGTCGGCGGGTTGTTGGTTCGCCACGCCACGAAAGTGCCGGTTCGGCAGGCATGCGGCAGGACCTCGTGTGCTCATCCCTCTTTGAACTTTGACACCGCTCCTCGCCGCCACTGCAGTGGAAGAGTGAGTGTATACCTCTAAAAAAGTCCGACAGCTAACCCCCCTCAAGATCAGTGGACTAGACTATATGCATGGGAGACTGTGTACGAAGACGGCAGCCTTTTCTTGAAAAAACAAACAAACACAGCAGTATGTATAGTCTAGACTAGACGACCGCACGCAGAAGTACGTGGGTTGGCGGTTTTACCTGCGCTGATACATCCCCGGTCTTATGTGCAACAGACGAAGGTAGCTCGCTATCTACACGTACATATGCAGATTAATGATGCCAGCACATCGAGCATTCAAGAGTCATAGACTACATGACATGACATGTAGAACCTCTCAGACGTGCAAACTGGCGTTCGTACTTGGAGGTGCAGAATATGATAGCTCGCTGGATAATGATAGATGGGGGGGAGGTGCATTCACACACAGGTCGAGACGATAGTATCGAACAAAACGACAGGAAGCGGGTTGAGCGACCAAGAAGTTAATTTACGCTGCGAAATGAACCCAAAACTACGAATAAATCGTCTATGACCAAGTCTCTGGAGATGTCGACTACATAGCCTGTTATTACACCCCAGCCCTAACTCCGAACCCTAATAATGTTGTGGGATTACACGCGTAGCGATCCCTGAAGACCCTGATGAAGACTCACTTGTTTATTAATCTCTTGGAACAGCAGTGCTTGCTGTTGCCTTGCTCTCAAAGGTAGACTGAGCACAGAGGGGGAGGACATGCTCCCTCTAAAACGGGCCACAAAGGTCCTGTCCCCTGTTTTATCCTTCCATCGGGAGTTACGTCTCCCGCAATACCGTTGGCACTGGCTACATTCAAATCCCATAACACTAGCCCACCCTGGAGGTTCTCATACGCAGATACGTGAAACCTAGGAACTTGACAAATGATTGTCGAATCCCAAAAATTGAAAGGATCGAGGATGTGGAGCTCCAAAATACCAAGAATCACCCTCCCACACCTCTCACACGATGAGTCGCAAGATCATCGTTTGACCCAACCAAAAAGAACGATAGAGAAGGAAAAGACGGGGGCTAGGAATGAAACAGGGGGACAATAGACACGACAAAAGAACACGTCAACGCTACAAATACCATAACAGGTCAGAACCCAAAGAAAGGAAGAAAACGCTGGAAAAACACCGTCGGAACGGCGGAAACCAACCGTATCGATAAAACGATACAAAACACGAAGCAGTCGGTCTCGCCCAAACGACTAATAAAAGCGACGAAAATACTCACGGCTAGCCCGTATAAGCTAACTAATCACAAAGAAAACCTAATGACGCCATAGCACGACGTACGCAAAAAGGTAAGAAACCAATCGTTTCGACAGCGAAAACCAGGGGGCCATGACCCAACATAAGGTCCGACGAAATCAAACCGCCGCGGGGAGCCGAAAATAAAGCTCAACCACGCGAATGGTTCTCGGGAGATAGATAGGTGTATAGTATGTAACCGGCCACCTGCATCGTCGACCTGAGGCTGACTCTTCGCGTCGTGTGGGGTGCGGCGTTGTTGACAACCTGTGGGGGTCCTGAAGTAAGAAGAGGGGGGATTTGGTTGTTCGGTAAATCAATCGAACGGGGGAGATCTACGAACATGACAACAACGGACGCGTTCTCAAAAACAGAGACGAGCTGTTGCACCAAACTTGCAGGAGGGGCGGACGGGGCCAGGAGGGACACCTCTTCCAACCCACACGGAAACCTGTCAGTGGGATCTCGAGAAACATGGCACGAAGAAAAACAACTTGCTTTTAGAGAAGAAACCGGAGATCGTCTACTCTTAAAACCAACTGAAAAAAGGGAGTGGGGTCACTTTTGGTGGGGTCACTTTGGGTGGGGTCAAAATCGAATACAGGTCTGAGAATTTCCGCAACAGAAAACTGAAGCAAATAGGCTTCAGAATACCACAGGGCACAACAGACCAACGACAACACCACCAACCAATGCTGCCGGACCACACCGTGCGTTGAATTTTTCTTGTGCAAGCCCCGGGGGCGGCCATTCTACATTCGGCGAAGGAGTAAAACCCAGGGGCGCTCTCGAAGGCAAGGGGGGCAAAAACAAAATACAACCTTTCTTGTAGTGGAAACAAACAATACCCCTAGGAGGTGGCTTCCTGATCCGGGGGACACAAGATGGGATGACAAAGGTTCCCTGTTCACGGCGTGCGTCATCCACGCTTCTGGCGCTCCTTGTATGGTGCTCGCTTCGTTTTGGAAAGCAAGAGGGGGTGCAGTAGCTTCTTCACTTCGCGTGTACTAGCCGCGCAAAGCACTCCCTGCGGTGTTCCGGTTGATGAAACACTAACAATGTGGAGGACCCTCTGTTTTTTCATCGTTTCTTTCGCTGAAATTGTAACTCAAAAGAACAAACCGATCCTCCGCGACGTTCCGCTTCCGAATAACACGCGTTCACGATCTCGATACTAGGCGAAGCTCAGCCAGCTTGTAACATGACCACAGCAGTGACAACGGCATATTCACCCAACCTTTCACCACACAGCCCAACAAATTACCTAGCGCGAAAAGGGTGCCGCACCGCTGATTGGTAAAATTGGAGGCGAGCAAGCCTATATCTGTACACGAACGGCCGTCTCGACACAATCTGCTGTAGCTGTTCCATATCGGAACTGGCTGAAAATGAAACTAAGGCACATGGATCCTAATGCATTCCCTAGTTCCGTCGTGTGGATATCTTTCCCCTATCCCCCACCCATCCCCTCTTGACGCTCGCTAACCTTGGCTAGAATCTCTGCTCCTCTCTCTCTGTCTCTCTGTCTCTCTCTCTTTCTTTCTCTCTCTCTCTCTCTCTCTCTCTCTCTCTCTCTCTCTCTCTCTCTCTCTCTCTCTCTCTCTCTCTATCTCTCTCCCTCTCCCTCTCCCTGTCTCTGTCTCTGTCTCTTTCTGTCTCTCTCTCCCGCATGGAAACTCATACAAAACTGCTTGGCAACCCCTCCCTCCGCCCGCTCCCTCCGTGTGCCCTCTGTATATCCCACGCCCCTCCGTCTCGAACCTCTCATACATGCAGACTTTCGTTTTGTTACACGTGAAAAAACACACCAAGAAAAAAACACACCCCTCCGTCAGCAACGCGCACATCAGCCCCACCCGCATATCAAACCCCGCTCCCATTTTCTCAATCGCTCAATTATTCTCAATCAAAATTGGATCTCGGCCAACATCGGGCAAACAAAACTGGAAACTCAACGGTAAAAAATGGGGTTCATCTCTTGCTCGCCCAGGGACACATCTAATATAGATCATGGTATGGTCCCGGCTCCTAGGAGGGAAAATATCAAACCGCGAGAGTGTATATCAACCCAAACATGAACAATTGAATACTGGGGGGGGGGGGGGG